CCTCCGGGGTTCGGACAATTCTTTTCGACGTTTTTTTTTTTGAGAGATTTTCTCCTTTTCCCTTTTTTTTTTTTTTTTTTTTTTTTTTTTTTTCTCTCAAACGCAGCCGTATCTACTTGCGACTAGTTTCATCGGTTGCCTCTAATTTCTCAATTGGAATATTTTTCTTTCGTATATTTTCACGCCTTCGTGTATCAACGCATCTCGTAGCTCGTACCTTCTTTTCGCAAACGTGCGATTCCACGTTGATTCGGATTCCTTTGGTATGCTCTGCAGGCAATCTGTCGTCGCGAATATTATCTCTATAAGGTGCAGAGCCACCCTCGCGTTACAATCGCATTGCGTTTCACCATAATTATCCACGTGCCGTATGGTCGCCGGCACATGGTCTGCAACGGCATCCTACTTCAACGAGGAGAGGAACGTTCGTCGTTCCGCGCGAGAGAACGGGAACGACGAGAAAAGAAATTGACTGCTCGTGGAACAAATTAAATTTCATCCTTCGGTCGATCGTGAAATCCTATCCTCTGCTGTTACATTCGCAATTTCCGTCGAAATACACACATACTCCTGATTTTCTCCGTTGAAATTCACTTTTGAAAAATCTTGGACCAACAGCGAGAACCGTTTCGTTTCGTTCGCGGTAACGCGACTCCGTTTTTGAAATTTTACACGAGCAAACGTTTTCCGAGAGAGGAACGTTTGCTGCTTTCTTCCAAACGATCGTTATTAGAATCTGCTTCCGGCCAGCGACGTAATCTTTCAGAAGGACCTTCGCTTAAAAAGCAGAGGCATTTTTAGCTACGAGCAAACGCATGAAGCAAGAAGAGAGAGAGAAAAGAATGTCCGACCGCTCTTTTCGAAACCTCTTCGTAAACACGAGGGAAAATCGACGGGCAATTAGTTTTGCGATATCCGAGCCTCGCTTATTTGCATCCAGTTTTCTATCCAGTTTTGTGTAGAAGGAAGTAGGCGGGCAGGAAGGAATCGGGTGCTTGACGATGGAGATTCGAGGGATGCGCATTATCAAAGGTCCCTCCTAGCGCGATTCAATACGCGATTTTCGTTCGATCGAGTACGCGATCTCGACCTCCTTTCGACATACAATATACAAAAGAAGCAACGAAATATAGTACGGGCTATATACCCGCGAAGGAAGAGGCGGGATACGACCGATAAACAACAGAGGAGAACGAAAGAGAAAGAGAAAGAGAACCGAGAAAAGCAGAGAGAGAGAGAGAGAGAGAGAGAGAGAGAGAGGAAAGGAAAGGAGAAAGAAAGAATAGAAAAGAATAGAAAAGAAGAGAAAAGGAGGTGGAACGTACATATTCACCGGAAGTCGTCGGTGCTCCCTGGGTGCCCCGCGATACGCGCCACAATGCACAGGATGTGTACAAATAAGGGTATTTGTCTGGCAGGCCGAGTGTAGGGTGAAATATACGATGACGTTAAACGGGCCCAACGTTGCATCCCTCACGCGCGCGAGCTCGCCTGTGAAACGAACACGCTGCTGACCCGCGTTCGCTCGTTCGATCCTGGTTGCCCACCAATAGAAAAAAGGCCCACCGCCAATAGAAGAAGAGCCATTCATCTAGCCACCGTTTGCAACTACGGTGGCACTCGGCCGACGGATCGTCTCTTCAATGGAAAGTGACATTTTATTGTGCTACGAGATTTTCTCGCACCTGGACCGAGGTCCACGGGGCCGCCGATCGCCACCGACCGCTCCCGTAATTATACCATTCCACACTAAAGGCTACTCTCGCCCTCTGCTCCAACGTGAAATTACTTTTAACTTTTAACACACGTCTTCTTCGAGTCGTCGACTACTTCAGACGCGTGCACTTTTCACTGCATGCACGCAGTAACTTTTCCACGGATCGATAACCTTTTCAACCAACGAGTGACGGAGCGTCTACTTCCGTTTGATGTAGAGATCCAATCTTTCCAAGTGTCAGCGGAGATTTGTTTCTTCGACGCGATATCGCGCCGTAATAGACGCGACGTGTTTTCACAGGACCTTTAATCCGTGACCCTTTCTTCCAACGTTCTCCTCTCTTTCTCTCATCGATCTGACCGACTTTTTCAACCAACGAATCATACACCACGTTGTTGGTTGAAAACATTTCCGCGCTATTTCTTTTTCTATATACGTACATGTGTACGTATACACTCGCGTCCTCTCCTCAACATTGTTCGTCGCCCGTGATCCTTCGCGCCGAGGATTACGTGAATCTCGATTTTCCGTCAGATTGCACAGTCCGGTTCCTATACCAGCGACCACGTTCTCTTTCATTCTCTCGCAGAGAGAATTCAGAAATCAAAGCCGCAGGCCTGAACGACGACACGCACGTTCGCCGCAAGTGTGTCGTGTGTCGTCAAATTTCACGATTTGAAAAGCCGATTCTCTTATCGCGATAAGCAGAGACTTATCTAAGCGTACATCTTGTACAACCAGCTTCGGTTCCGACCTGAAAAACTGTTATTCCTTTTCGTCTTAAGGTCTGCTCGTTGTAATTTTGCGCGCGACACAATAGAAAATTATAGTCGCGCTAGCGAGCGCTGCCTCGGGCTTTACAATGCCGTAATCGACTATTGTAGGCAAGTTGGTACAAAGGCGAGTACAAACGTACAAACGTACAAACGTACAAACGCGTTTAAAGGGAACGCACGAGGGCGGCGTGTGCAGTTCGCAACGAAACAAAGTTTATCTATCGGATTCTGAAACGTGTCGAATCGCACCCTGCCGCATCAAGTTAATCCCGCATCGAGGTTTATCGCTATCGCTGGAAAAATATTTCGCATCGTTTACATCGCCCGGCTTACATCGCCGACTCAATCCCCGCACATGTCAGAGAAAATATTTTTCTCAAATATTATTTCAGAGCGCTCGCGCTTGCTCTTCCTTTTTTACGAAAGCCGCTCGACAATCTCGTTACGCGCGTAGTACGTGCTACACGCGTACAGCCAAGCAAAGGGCGTTCGTCGGCCGATGATTGGAACCAACTTTCCTTACTCCGTTTTCCGAACGATTAACGTTAACCTTAACAAGCGTACAAAATTATCCCAAATGCGCTGTTTGCACCTTTCTGGTCTTTCTCCTTTCTTTGTGATCCGAAAAAAATCACAACCTTCCGTCGGCTAACGGACGCGACAAAGCGGAAAATTTAGGCCGATGCTTTGTTCTGGCTGCGACGAATGTCGCGTCGCTTCGACGCACAAGGAAAACGCTTTGAAAAGCCAGTTTTCGCGTCAGCTATGCTGGCGACAAATTTTTATTGTCATCGAGACGACATTAGCGCTGGCTTTCCTCGCCACACCGGCTGCGCGCCAGCTAGAATAAAAAGAGAAAGAAGAAGAGATTTCTCCGAACGAGACCCAGTAGGAGGACAGGTGGTAACCAGAGGATCTCCGAATCCTCGCTATTCAACATTCAGCCTCCTACTTTATCTCCCTAGGGGCTAGCTAGCTAGCTATCCGCCAATACGTTACCCTGACAAATTCTCGAAACCGAGATTTATAACCCTCGATCGCCTTACTATCCTCTCTATTTTTCCAACTCGACTTTTCCATGTGTCACCGTACTTTGCTAAACTAAACTACTTTGGAAACGACCGAGAGAATTTTTAGAATTTTTGTTGGAAATTTTTTAGATACGAGACAGTGCATTTTCACAGATTTGAATGATTCTTTTGCAAACTATATACGCCACATAGATAAAATTTGCGCAAGTTGGCACGAGGTTTTTCCACTTTTTCGCTTCAACATCTCTGATGGAAATTTTACGCTTCAGTGGTCGGGTTCAGTTCTAGTGTTATCGCCAGGATGAAAACGAGGAGAAATCAATCTCGAGTCTCGCCAGTTTGAAATCTGTCGCGTCGAATCGCCTCGTACCAATTTTTCATTTTTCCCTCTGTCAAATTCTAACCGACACCAGCCTCGCGACCGTTTTCGTGAAGCAGCCGCTGAAAAGTTGAAGAGCGACAAGACAAGTTATTCGAGCAATTAAGGACTGGAAACGCCCTCGACGTGACACGGACGAAAATTTTTTTTATTTCCCTAGCGTTATTCATAAATCACGGGGAAAGCCGACGCTGTCACTCGATTTTATGACCGCCGTAACTAGAAATTGGAATTTTCTGGTTGATTTGGGGTCGGTCGAAATACAAGAGAGAGAGAGAGAGAGAGAGAGAGAGAGAGGCACCATCAATTCCCATTCATTGTAAATCAATGGTCTTCCGTTTCGAAATTTATTCTCCAAGTTTGACCTTTGTTTCGAACGTGCCATGTCAGCAGACTACCTGTCTCATTTCGGTTCGTTTCATCATCGATGCAATACCGACTTTCCCTCGCCACGATGATTTTCGCCAGTTTCATTCCAAGAAGTAAAGTTCTTGGGAAAAATCGCCTCTCGCAGAATTTCTAAAGCTTTCAGTAACGAAACTGCGCGCCTACCTTTTGTACCTTTCTCGATATCTTTGTAACCAAGAGTAGATCGCCACTTTTCCAGTTTATCCTCGTGAAACGAAAAATTCGCATTCGCGCAAGATATTCGCGCAGCGTAAAACACGTAAGGAATCCCAGCTGGTTTCTTGCAATCCCTGTCCTCCTCTCGCCTCTCAGCGCCTCTCGCCTCTCCTCCGACCGATCGTGCAAAAGATATTCTTTTTTGTCGCGTAGCCGGTGCATCCTGCGTTACACACCGCGGTCACTTTTTACCGAGCACAAAGGTCCACCAAGGAGAATATTGTCCGATAATCTCGCATGCACGCGGTTGTACGCGGTTGCACGCGCGTTCGGCTCGTTCAATGGGTTCGTGGCCCTGTCGTTTTCGTTCGCGTCGCGGCCCAACAACCGCAGGCGTGTATTCGTCCCGGGCC